CATTTGCCTGCCTGTATATAGTTTGCATCATCAGTAAGGTGTATACTGAGTTTGGTCTTTTTATATCACTGTATTAGTTAATTGAGGCTCGTTGGGGAATCCTGGAGTGTGACGTATGAGGGGAACCCCACCGTCACACAAGCCATACAAAGTTAAGGAAACTAAGCACAAACGTAAACACAATCAGCTTTTCCGCATATATATACTGGCCCTGATTATCATAACTTCTACTTACTTACTTCAACATGCTTTTTTGTTTCAAAGACATTTGTCATTATTTTACTTCCATATAGGTAACAGTTTTTTTATTGTTTTAGTTTACTTAAAAAAAACCCTGATCAGTTTTATAATGTTCTTAAAATGTTAACACAAAATGATAAAATGGCATATTCCCTTAATATTCACATAACCAAGAAAAACCCTTTAAGATGTTCAGAGAACATTCAGAAATGATGTTGTAGTGATAACAGAATAATAATTTGCTAAATGTAGTTAGAACATATTTTTGTTAGCTGTGTACAAGTTTATATTACACAGTTTGCATATTGTAGTTTTTTTACATCCTGCATAACTGTCCTGCAAAAGAAAAGTATCCATAGCACAAAGGTTTCACACTGTTCACAGGATGCACACTGTCAGAGACTGAGCGGGAACCTAAAACGAAGTACACGGGTGCTTCTGTGCTTCTGTCCTGCTCATGTGAAGACCCAAACACCAAACCTGAGGACTTCAGATGGACCCACGTAGAGTCCAGTGGGACTGAAGTGTCCAATGAATCTCCACGGTATAAAGACAGAGTCCACACGTTTCACAAGACGACTCCATCAAATCTGTCTCTGTTGATCTCCAATCTGTCTGAAGACGACCAGGGCACTTACAGATGCACAGTTAACAACAAAACATCCGCTGACACCAGACTCATCGTTAAAGGTGAAACTGCTGTGCTTAAATCAACTCAATCTCTCAATGAGTTAAGCATGTTTTTGTCAGTGTTTCTTGAGTCTCTCTGTCGTCCTGCAGGCTGTGTTTTATCCGAACATCACGTCACCAAGAGCTCATATGCAGGAGAATCCGTGATTCTTCCATGTTCCTGTGAAGATCCCAAAACCAAACCAGAGCACTTTGAATGGAAGCGAGCAGCTGTAAATGAGACGCTGGTTTCAGACGCTGAGGAGATCAACGGCCGATTCCAGATGATCAGAGATTCTCCTCATAATCTCTTCTTACGGATCTCAAACCTGACCGAGACTGACGGAGGACTGTATGTGTGTTCAGTCAACGGCAAACAATCCAGACACGTCACTCTCACTCTTACAGGTAAAACACCTCAGATTAGTTTCAGATTAAACTGAAATGATTTCAGTGATACAATTATGTGACTCTCTTTGAGCTTGACAGTGTTACACTGAGACACTAAATAAAACATCTGAGTTGCTGTTAACATAAATGAGCACATTCATGATTGTGAACTCAATTTTTTTTTTTGTGTGTGTGTTCTCAGATTCTGCTGTTATAAATGCTCTCGATTATCAATACTATCTGATATTTCTGGTCTTTCTGCTCTGTCTGATGCTGCTGCTGGCGGCTGGATGCATCTTCTGGAGATTTGCAAGAGGTACGAACACACACACGACCAACAATCGTGAACTGTGCACTATGACTAAAAATATAGATTGTTATAAATAGTTTGTGTTAAACTGAAATCATTACAATCTTACAGCTAAAAAAGGAAGCAGAGGAAGCCGAGAGATCCAGAGATCAAATGATGAGGTGAACTGTTCATGATCAGCATATAATACACTATTCATGAATGAAATACAAATAAAATGACGTTTGTGTTTGTAGGATGAAGTGACATACTCAACCGTGATGCAGATTAAAGGTAGAAAACCAGCAGAAAAACAGCAACAGGTACTTAAACCCTAAGAAGCCACTGTATAATATTTCTAAGTCTTCTAAGTGATCGAATCTTTGCTGTCACACTCAATCTCCTCGTGTCTTCTGTCTCTGATTGATAGTTTAGATGTTTTATCCAGTAAAAGCTCTTTTAGTGTAATTGTAGAAACGTCCAGCTTCAGCTCGAGCTTCTCGTGTCAAATCTTGACTGGTTTTGATCAAGTAAGCGTCAGAATAACTGCAGTAATATCTCCAGATCAACACTTACTGGACTGAAGCAGCTCAGCTTTACTTGATTCTCCATCAATCATGTTTTAGAGTCTCAAATCTGATCCTCGGGATCTTTTGAGGAGCGTTTGTTTCCAGAAGCTTTACTTTCACTGTTCCTCAGCGGAGGAATGATCTTCACAAGCCTCCAGAACATCTCACATCTTCTGAGGAGCCTTTATTTCTTCAGCTCTCAATCACTGCATTATATGTTTGGAGCATTTCAATCTCATCTTATTAAGACATATTATTGGAGATACAGATGTGGCCATTAAGAATGCGTGTGTTTTTTTCTCGTGGCAGAAGTCGTAGCAATATGAGATTAAACTCATACTATTTTGACAATAAAGGCGTAGCATTATGTACGACATCATTTTAGTGCCACATTCAAAATAAAAAAAATCTAAGAAATATTTTGAGAAAATTATGAGAATAAAGTCAAAATATTTAGAGAATAAAGTCAAAATTACAAGAATTAATTCGTAGCAATTACGAGATTAAAGTTATAATATTTTGAGAGTCTTTTGAGCATGTAAATGGGAACACCAGGAGAAACTAATTTGAATAAATGTTGGATTATTAGCAGAAATCATAGCATGTGTCATATACTTGCAGAGACAGTATGCTTGAAAATAATATTTTGCATTGCACCAGCCCCCCAATAATAGCAATAAGCTTTGTGCTTTTGGTGCTTTTAATATAAAACAAAGCCTAAGCTTTCAAATTCTGTCAGTTTTATAGCGAAATACAAACAATATATCTTTCAATAATGTGTTTTTCACGCTCTTTAATGTGATGTGAAAGATCGCTGACGGTGTCTGTTTTTGTAGTAAATTGTGCATCAGACAAGGCGAGTGTGGTAAAAAAATACTGTATGTTGGTTTTCTGGTCGTACCACATTAAGCTACTATTGATAACAGAATCATGAACGTTTATTGGCCTTTGCACAGTACACGCAATAAACTTCAGTAGACTACAGCTCGCCGTGATTAATGTGCTCTGCCGTTTCAGTATAGTATGTCACGACTGTCCCCTATTGATCATGTGTTTCCAGTGTTAGAGCATTCCCTGTGGTCCTGTGTAACACACCGTGGTCACGCATGATCCTTTTCTTCTGAATGTGCATATTTAATGGCCACATCTGTATAGAGGGACGACTGATATTTAGAACATTTTATGTCAGTGTCTGAAAAATCTCATAGATTCACATTACAAGCATCAGAATTCCATCACATTCATATCAGCATCTGCAGCAAATTCATATTTTTGCTCATTTGGAGTCTCTGAATAAAATTGAGCTTCATCGTATCAAACTGAATGAGCCATAAAAGCCTGATGGATCAAACGTAAAGCACAACATAAAATACATATACAATATTTCTATTTAGATTTTGTGTAAAGGTTCAATAAACTGATCCATTTTTAAAAGATTTTTCAGACTTATTACGTCTGCCAGGCATTACAGGGTTAAAACTGCAAGAAAATGTTGTAATGTGCTTTAACAACAATTGATTAAAAAAAACAGCTCAGTGCTTTTAATTTTAGCTCTTTCTGTTTTAAAATATTATATTCTGCACAACTAATTCTCTCATTTCCTCAAAAGAAATTTTCCAGTTTGTGTATTTCTGCGACTCATGCAACCAATGGGTGTGTGTTTACTGACAGTAGTGTATTTCCTACACAGAATGCAGCGGTTGCACTGAACAAGAGGGTTGAATCCACTGAGGTCACTGTCTGTGCAAAAATCTGCATGCATATAATATTTTCTTCATAAAACTAGCTTTTTGAGATTGACACATTTAGCTGTCAGTTCATGAGCTCAAACATAACGTAAAGGCAGATGCATGTGTAGCTGCAGTGTTTGCTTTTGCATGCTGCAACTGGTGAACAACTTGTTGTCTTTTTAAGGATGACGTGACTTACTCCAGTGTCACACACATTGAAGGGAAAAAAAGACCTTGCAAAAAGGTTAGTGTTAAATTTTGGACATGTATTTATAAAAACCAGTTCATCTGAAGAAAGGTTTAATTGTAGCATGTTTGTTTGTGTGTAGGAAGACGAGGTTATGTATTCGACTATGGCAGACATGAGCAGATCTACTCGGGTAAATTTGCAGTCATACTATTTTAGGAAACACTTCTCTAATTTCTCATTTTTCATCATTTTAACAGTTTGAAAGCTTCTGCTTAATTGCTTGAAATGTGTTTTGTGAGTGCATCTTGCTTTATTTACAAATCTAAAATGAATTTAAAAAGAACCATGATGTAGATGAGTTTGTTTCTTCATCAGGTTTGGAGAAATGCAGCATTGCATCAGTGTCTCAGCAATGGATAGAAATCTGCACAGATCAAGCAGCGTTTAAACAGCTCTAAACAAATATGTGGCTGGATTTTGATGTGAGAGACAACAGCAGATGCACTTTTTCACTGAAGGACGCGTTATTATGGATTCATAAAAACATCTTAATGCTGGATTTGTTTCAGCTTTTGTCTTTTCCAGATGTTAACTGATGGACTGGAGTGCTGTGTGGATTACTGTGTGGGTTTTTATCAGCTGTTTGGACTCTCGTTATGACGGCACCCATTCAGTTATAATTTTGGCATTCTATATGGCAGAAGTATAATTGTGTAACCACTATATATATATATATATATATATATATATATATATATATATATATACACATATACAGTATGTTCTACTATGCGTTACGTCAGAAACACACTGCAGGGTGACAGTATCAATTGAGTTTTCTAATCAAATTTCTAAACACATGGTACAGGACAGCATGATCTCCACAGCGAGCTTCATCTTCAGTCTTCACATTCACTGTTACCTGAGCTTTACCATTACTTTACTTAGCAGCCATGAAATAAGGTCACATCGCAGGATTCTCTGGGTAAGTGAATCTCATGAAAACACGTTCAGGTCATGTTTCTATGGAGGCTTGTTTCTGCCACGGGATAAAAAAGAAAAGGTAATTGCGACCTTTTATTTCTCAATTCAGCCATTTTTTCTCGCAATTCTGAGTTTCTATATCACAGTTATTTTTTTAAAGATATAAACTCACAATTCTGAGGAGAAAAGACAGAAGAAACCAAAAAAAACAATTGAAAAATATAAACTCAGAATTGCGATATTATCTCAGCATTGCGAGATTTAAACTCAGAATTGCTATATAAACTCAGTTTTGCGAGATTTAAACTCAGAATTGCGTCATCAGGTTTGGAGAAATGCAGCATTGCATCAGTGTCTCAGCAATGGATGCTCTGCAGTGAGTGGGTGCCGTCAGAATGAGAGTCCAAACAGCTGATAAAAACATCACAATAATCCACAAGTAATCCACAGCACTCCAGTCCATCAGTTAACATCTGGAGAAGACAAAAGCTGAAACTAATCCAGCATTAAGACGTTTTTATGAATCCATAAGAACGCTTCCTCCAGTGAAAAAGTGTTCTGGTGTGAATCAGGAGAGAAATCTGCACAGATCAAGCAGTGTCTAAACAGCTCTAAACAAATATGTGGCTGGATTTTGATGTGAGAGACAACAGCAGATGCACTTTTTCACTGAAGGACGCGTTATTATGGATTCATAAAAACATCTTAATGCTGGATTTGTTTCAGCTTTTGTCTTTTCCAGATGTTAACTGATGGACTGGAGTGCTGTGTGGATTACTGTGTGGGTTTTTATCAGCTGTTTGGACTCTCGTTATGACGGCACCCATTCAGTTATAATTTTGGCATTCTATATGGCAGAAGTATAATTGTGTAACGTGTGTGTTTATTATCTCTGCAGGATGATGTTACGTATTCATCTGTAGTCCACATCAAATCTCACAAACCAAAATCCCGACAGATGAACACTGAGGAGGCCACCGTCTACGCAAGTGTGCAAAAAAGATAAAACATGACACGCACACCTAAAACAGCATCTCAGACATTCTGCACTGGGTTGTTGTTTTATGACCGTTTTAAAGAGTTTGATGGCTTTTACATTAACATAATTTGCTTTCTGTCATGTTTACTACTAGCTTAATTTCATATGGTCAGTGTCATTTTGTAAAAATTATGACATTGTTAGAATAAATGCTACATTTATGTTTTCTAAGATTTTTGTATTTTGAAGATGATTGGGCGATTCAGTTTATTTCTTAAATACAGTAATACACATTGTTTTCTTACTTTGGAGGCTCTATATAAAGCTATATTATGTTTGGATTTAGTATCCGTTTAATTGCTTAAATATTTCTTAAAAAGTTCATATTTATTACACACTAAAAAACAATGGCGTAGAAACAGTCATTTAGAAATTGCTTGTAAAGTTCACAAATGTTTACAAAGTAACATTTAATTAAATGTGACATTTTGAAGTAGACAGAAATAATATTTTATTAATCAGCAAGTTCTGGTTTCAACTTCTTGGAAAAAAACTTATTGAAAAAAAAGCTTTTTTTTGAAACTAAATGTACAAATGAAGAACATTTTAAATTCTGTGTTCACAGTATCATTAAAACTGTCTGATTGCTCCTCAAACTACAAGAGTTTCCTAATTTGTTTCTTTATTTAAAGATTCCGTGTCTCGTCTTTTCAAGCAAAAGCAAAATTAATACAGCTACAAAACAATGAAATATTCATTTTCACAATAATATTCTTCATTCTAAAACCTTAAATTTCACACTAAAGCATCTGTGAAAGAATGCAATTAAAAACATATGAATAGAGCAAAACAAATATTACAACAAAACATAGTTTTATAAATTAAAACATTCTCAAAATTATATGGTGCATTTTCTCATATTAGACTAGAAACTAATTAAAACAGTTAAGAGGCACAGCTGTCAGAGATTGATCACTTTAAACTTGTGACCTGAAATCCAGTGAATTATTTGATATGAACTCATAACCGTTTTGATAAAATGATGTATTATACAGCAATGTATTTTATGATTTTAAATTCAAATACAGCCGGGTCCAAAAGTCTGAGACCACTAGTTAAAATATTTCTAATTTCATTACAAATGATATGATAGAAATAATATTTTGAGTCAAAAAAAGTTTAATAGAAATGTAAGAATGCCTGATTTTTTTTTTTTTTTTGG